CGGCCCATTGCCGGATCGGCGCCGGCGCCGACGACGCGATCTAGGCGGCGGGCGAGGTCGTCGCGCTCGAGCTCGACGTTCCGCCTGCGCTGGGCCGAACGCTGCAGCTCGTTGCGCAGCCGTTCGAGATCGGCAAAGAAGTGAGCATGCTCGTCCTCCCCTTGTCCCCTCTGGGCCGTCACCATGCGGGCGTGGACCAGCGCGCGCACCAGCGGCTTGACAACGTCGCCGAGGTACGTCGTCTCGAGCAGGTGCTCTCCCAGGGTGGATGGAACGAAGAGGTCTGGCGTGTCCCTGGCGCCCATGCGCGCCGCCTCGGCGGCAGCGGCGGCAGCGTCGTGGCTCCGGGGCATCTGGTGATCGATGAAGGAGCCCGAATTGGAACCTGCCAGCGACAAGACGAAAGGCCACCCATGACGACGGCGGATGGACGGCGGATGGGCATGGGTGGGAACGTTTTGTCGACGATGTCGTCAGCGGAGTGTTGCAGACAAGGGGCCTCAAGATGGGCCGACCTTTGCAGACGCAGCACTAAGAGGTAACAAACTGGCGTCAGAGGCGTGCGACTCACGTTTGGCTCTACCAGCGATGGGTGACTTTGGTGCCATCCGGCCAAAGCCGCCCTGGGTCGGGTTGCCGGAGGTTGACGCGGCCATGTCAGTGAGGCTACTGCTGCTGCTGCGGCTGCGGATACGGATGCGCTCGTCGGGCGCTGTCTAGGATCGTGACTGCTCCGGCGTCAGAGCGACCAGATGTCGGGAGGGCGGGACGACGACGATGATCGGGCGCAGCGCCACTGGGATGGGCAGAGCCGGGCAGCAAGGGAGGCGCGAAGCTGGCGGAAGAGGGCTGCAATCCAGCAAGAGCGGACACGGGTCGACGAGGAATGATCGAATGCAAGGCTGTAATGGTGATGGTGGTTGTGAAGCTGACGTTGATGGCGAAGATGGTGGTGCCGGTGTGGTCTGTGGTGATGTCGACGACGTGGGGCAATCTCGGAGATGGGCAAGAGGGCGGGCCGGCCCAATGGCATCCGGGGCGTCCTTCCGGAGAAGCAACGGGCTGCGCTGAGTTGGGCCGCCGCAGACGATGCGACCAAGATCCTCGACGGGTGACCGACGAGGCCCGGCCGAGCTGGGCAAGCGGATAGGAAAACGTGAGGTGAAAGTACACGGCACGTAGGCGCGACACCTGGCGCTGGCCGCTGAAAGCTGGCCGCTGGGTACAGCAGTATGCAAGGTGCCAACGAGGCAGGGCCGCGCGTGCCGATGCAAGCCGATGCGATGCGAAATGCTCTACGTGCTCTGCTGGGCTGGAACGGGCTAGAGCGAGCTGAGCGGAGCGGATGGGAACCAGGCTGAGGGGACTATCGGCAGCAGGGCCGACCGGTGGGTCGGCGGGTCGGAACGTCGGGAGGTGGCCGGACTCGGGAGGAAAGCTGAGCGAAGCAGGTGGCTTGGGGCGGGGCGCACAACGGCGAATGGCTGGGTTGAGCAGACGATGGTTAGGCAAACGGGCGGAAAGCTCGGAAGGCCGGGCGGAGGGGTCCGGAAGGGGACGGTGGACCGAGGTCTGGGTCTGGGTGAGGACGACGAGGACTGGGTCAAGGGCGACAGCAGGGCGAAGGGGGGGAAGAGCAGTAGGGCGCCCGGAGAGGTGGATGGTGGTGGTCTTCTCGATGGCAGGGGGGCAGGGCCAACCTAGGCAGCAGCCGCAGCGAAGGCGGCAACACCGACACCAGCTGCGTCGCGGCACGGGGGGTCGACCGCACGGCCCGTACAGCACTTGCCTAGCCTGCTTCTTGGTGGCTTGCTCCGGCGGGCCACCCGACGGGCCATCCGCCACACTGCCTCCCGGTACTGCTCTTCGGTCCAGCCCGGGCAAGCCAAGCCAAGCCCGAAGTCGCAGCGGGCGTAAGCACACCCGCGCAGTGAGCAACAGGCAGGCAGGCTGGCACCGACGTGTGGTCGGATCAGATGCGGATGCGTCCGAGACGGCGGCCCGACCCCGCTCCTGGGCCGTTGTGACTGGTGACTACCGCACCGGTGGCAGCACCGCCGGCTGCTGCTGCTGCTGCTGCTGCTGCTGCTGCTGCTGCTGCTGCTGCTGCTGCTGATGCCAGGCCGGCTGTACCTGGGCGCAGTGCAGAGGGATCAACAAGCAACACGTACGCTAGCCAAGGGCAAGGGCAGATTTGGGCAGAGGGGGGCGGCGGCGGAAAGGGTAGGAGGCGGGGCGGGCAGAAAAGAGAGGAGGATGAGGCAAAGACGAGGGCCGGAGACGAGCGAGGGGGGCCAGGGCCAACCACTCTCACCTCCCCACCCGGTTCCAGCAGGCAGGCAGAGGCTGAATACGGCCCAAGCAAGGCTGGGACGCAGCCTGCCCTGGCCAGAGCGAGGAGGACCCCGAGAAGCTGGGTCGAGCAAAGTAGCCGGACCACATCCAACCATGCGTACCGTAGCCAAGCCAGTCCAGGCGCAGGCGAGGTCACCTACCGTTGCAGCCACGTCGCCAGCCTGCCCGACCGCCCGCCCGACCTCGACCGCCATTTTTGCCTTGCCTGACCCAGGCTCGCGCCCGAGCCTTGCTTGTCCCGAAGCCCCGGCACTTCCGCACCGACAGGCAGGCAGGTAGGCGTTTCTACTCTTCTCTTAGAGGGGTCTTTCCTGTCTGTCCGCCGCAAGCCATACGGCACGCACGCCCGCCCAATCGACTTTACGTTCATAGGGCTCGTCGCCCGGCCTGCGCCCATGTGTGACCTCGTTCCATCGGTTGGCTGGGATGCTCCCGACAGCTCTGCGGTGAAGACTGCGAAGCCGGCAACATCGAAAGGCCAGGTCGACGTCAAGCGCAAAGCTTCGACAGGTATGTAGAACTTCGTCCGCCTCAGAGGTGCAAGCAAGGTGACCAAGACTCACAGCAGCGGCAAGTAGGTAGGGGCGAGCGAGCTATGCAAGCTAGGCTAGCTTGATCTCGCTGCCTTTGGCCCGCACACCATCGCACCGACGTGCACCGTGGACTGGGCTCTGCCTGCTTGGTCGTGTCCCCTTGCTCCTTCGCAGCTCCATCGGTCTGACGTTTTGAAGGCGAGGCGCTCCGTCGTTCGCGGCATGACAAGGCGGAGCACGATCTGGCTTTCGTACGTCGTCGTCTGCCTGCTCGGCGCGCCCGGACACGCCCGTATCCCACCGGACGCACTCTCATTGCGCACGCCACGCACGCCGCGCACGGACGAAGCCCCGTCGCAGGTTCCGGGACGCCCTCGGTGCAGATTCCGCCCCGAGGCAGCATAATGTTTGAGGTCAAGGATACACATGCCTGCAGGCGTCGGCCACCCAGCCCGTCGATCTCCGTCGCGGCAAGAAGCGTACTAGGTACTGCGGGAAGCGGAAACATCGAGGGGATGCTCTGGTCGACGCCGCCTTCGAACGCAAACCCCTAAGACCGCGTGCTGATGCTCTCCGTTTCGAGGACTGACCAGACCATACAGGATGACCGCGGGCAGGCTTTCTGCCCCCAGCCTCCATTCCGGAACCCGGCTGGCCGTTCTATTGTTCTCGCGTCCCGATGACATGCAGGCAGAGATCAGAGCTCGGACGAGCGAGCAGCAGCAAGCAAGCAGCGCAGCAAGCAAGCAGCGCAGCAAGCAAGCAGCGCAGCAAGCAAGCAACACCCGGAGATATGCGGGGCTCGGGTTGATCGAGGCGGCTCAAGGCACGGTCCCGGCCGGGCCGTCCGCCTGCCTACCGTACCAACCAACCGACTCGAGGTCGCAGCGGTGTTGGCACGCACGCTGGGCTGTTGTTTGCAGGCATACGAGCAAGCCACCACCACATGCCTGTAGGTCCGGTCGCCGCCGGACATATCGATATCCTTCCCAGGACACCGTTCTTTATTTCGCTGTATATGAGCTCGGCTGTCGGCTCCTTCTTTATACGATGAACTGCCAACCTCGGCGCCGTGGTTCAGAGTCCAAGGAGCAACGACGACGACGACGGCGGCGGCGGCGGCGAAAGCGGCGGGCATCTTGGCGCCCGTGACGCGAACCCCACACGCCCGAGACCGACTTCGCCTCTGCGGACGTGATCGCGATTCGCCCGACGCCCAACTCGGCCCGTTCCACCATCAGTCCAGTAATTTTAGCTTCTAGTCTTCCTCGGGCCAACCTCGCAGTCGCCTCTGCCGACACAAAAAGACCTCAAGGTGCGGCGACAAGGCGGGCCGGGCCTGATGCAGCAGATGGTGCTCCAACGCCGCGCTTTGATCCCGAGAGATCGAGCCGGAGCTCAGCGTTAAGGAGGCAGAGAGGCCGAACTGTCGGGCCAACCGGGCCCCACCGGAGATCGGAGCAACCCGAGAATCTGGCTGACCCATCCACACGCGGAAAGAAATGAAGAAGAAAGATCGAAACGCACACGCGCGCCGGCGTCTCGCCCACGCTGCCGGCCCGCGTTTCATCAGCCACCCGGCGTCAGGGCCGTGCGAGGCCGTCGCCAGCGGACCTTGTCCCCTTGCCGCAGCCACAACAGCAAACACATACGGGACGATCGAGACGAGCGTACACAGGGTACAACATGGCCGCCGGAGGGAGTGCTCATGACGGCCAGACGGATGTTTCACATCCGCGGACCGGCATCAAGCCCGGGCAGCGGGGCAGGCCGTGACCGAAGCAGCATCGTGCACAGACGTCTTGCCGAGGGCCGAGAACCTCGCTCGCTCGCATCCAGTTCGGAGTCCGGGGCCATCCGCGTTTGCGCGCACCTTAGGCCGGCGTGTATGTACCTACCTGTAGGCGCTTCACTCGCTCGCCCGGGCCTTCGGCTAACGACGGCGGCAGGCTCAGCTGGCTTGCGCTGGCTTCTCTCCCCTCACGCCCTTGTTTTCGTCTGCTCTCCCCTCCTTCATATGGGTCGCGTCCCTGCCGCGCGAGGTCATCCATCCAGTACGTTCGCGGCCGCCAGCGTCTATCCGGTTGGGCTGGGTTCTTTCGCTCAACGCCTTCCTTCTGGGCAGTCTAGGTCGTATGGTTTCGGGGCGCGGCGCATGCCGAATGCCTGGCCAGGGCGGACAGCCAGCCGGGCGGGGTCAGCCGGTCGGTGCCATTTGCGACCAGGCTCGATCAACAGGCAGGGGCAAGGCACAGTGTAGCCACCGTAGCCGGAGTCAGCTCTTCTTGCTCTCTTACGGTACCGCCGCCTGCAGGTGCTTGCCTACCGGCAGGAGCTCGCGGGATATTTGTCTTTGTCTTACCTCACCACGCCGACCTGCCCGGGAGGGGCAGCACTCAGTCGAACCATCGACTACAGTATCTGTACGGTAACGGATTCAAAGCTCCAGGCACCCGTTCTCTTCTGGTACTGACATCCATCCGGCTACAGTGCGAACAGGGCTTTCCTGCTAAGTGAGCACGGCGTCTCTCATTCCGACGCCCTGCTTCAGCAGCCGCCCGGCCTCCGATGTGGGATAAGAGAACGTGACCCAGCTCTTGACCCGGAGCCTACTCTAGCCCTCGCCCCCGACTAGCCTGTTATCCATCCTCTCAAGAAACATACGATATCGGACGGCCGCCGTACCAAGTCGGCACCCCAGGAAGTCAAGCGAGGCCCTTCGCATCTGAGGCTGGCGCGACGGGCTGGCCGCCGAAATCGCGCTCGCCCAGCCAGCTCGCCCTCTTTCCAATGGTCGTGAAGCATTCTTGTCCGGCAATCTTCGCTCGCCGGGCCCCCTTCTCGTCTCGGGGCGCGGGTCGGGGTCGAGGCGCGATGACAAGTCACCTCTGGCCTGGACGGTGACAGGACAATAATGGCACCCATCTGTACCGTACCACAACAAGGCCGCTCCTATAGCGCCACCGCGCCTACCCGAGGGATCGCGAGAGCGCAGAGCACTAATCTTGTCCCATGTAGGTACCAGTGAGCCCTCTGCAACACCTCACATCGCTCTGGCTCCGTTAGCGTGCGAGCGAGCTGAGAAGGGCCATCTCATTGCCATCTCGCTCTCACTCTCTGTCTGCCTTTCTCCATCTCTCTCTCTTCTTGCATGCGGACACCTTTGCCTCATACGGGTAGCCGGGCGGGGCAACCGTAACAGGTGCTTGATGTCGAAACCGTCTGGCGCAACGGCACCATCGGACGCCTCGCCTGCCGGTCCGGCCTTTCCACTTGCAAAAGTAGCCGGTCGCGCTTGGACTGCTCGGCGAAGGGATGTACATAGCCCAGCACACGGCATGCCACACTCTGCCTCTGCCGACCGCATGTCTGGCACCGCTGCCGTACCGCTGGCCAGACAACCGAGTCCAGGCGAGGCAGAGATCCACGCGAGGACGGGCGATCCGGAGCGGTCTAGACCTCGGCCCTCGACCCTCATTTCGTACATTCGCCGGGTCCACGGCGCCACGGGTGAGGGCAGGCCGAGAGGTCCATTCCCTGCCTTGACTTGCTTGCCTCCGTCTCCAGAGGGCGAACTGGTGCGACGGATGACGGATAAACCACCCTGAACAACCCATCAAGATGTACGATCGGGCATCCGCACGTACAGGACCGTACCGTGACCCACACTCTCTCGGCTGCTCCGCTGCACGATTATCGATGCCTGGTCAATTGGGGCTTCCGGGCTTGGCTTTGTTCGTGGCTTGGCTCCGGGGCGACCCAGGGGATGCAGCAACAGGCCGCCCGGCGGGCGCTCGTATGACGAGTTACCGAGCGAGATACCAGTATTCTGGCGAGTAGACTGAGTCTGGCCCACCGGCTGCGACGATTATCTTGCTCTGGCAAAGGAGGCGCTCACAGGTCATGAGATGGTGGGCCACAACAAGCAAGGCCAAGCTGTTGCGAGCGTCACATGGCTGACTCCGCTGGGCTCTTCTAGGGTACGCACTCGAGCAGCGCGACCCCCGACGTGCCCAACCACCCGAGCCCGGCAGGCACGGCACGGCACGGTACGGTACATGACGTACCGTACCGTAGCGCAGCACGGTTCCATCGAGAGTCCGGCATGCCGATGGATGGCAAGCCGACGTCTGCGACCTTTCCGTTGGACAGGCACCGGTAGACGAGCCAGACGGACTCCCTGAATGCTAGCGAGCCCCGGTGCAGTCACTCGACCTCCGGATCCTGGGTTGATACAGCCGCGGCTCAGCATCGACGGACTTCTCGGCAGCATCGCGCCCGTCTCCGCCATACGATGGATGACTCCCGTCGAGAGCCTGGTCGTCATGCAGTACAAAGTACAAAGGCCGGATCTGCCTGCGCCAGGCAAGGAGCAAGGCCAATGCGAGGGACCGATGCCGTCGCTGGCCGCCGCGTCCATCGTATTTGTCGGGGTGAGAGGGCGGGCGTCCTCCTGTGCTCGTTCGGCATGAAAGGCGACCCCCAGTTCCTGGGTCGGAATGGCTCCCCTCCCTCGCTGCCGAAGCCGAAGCCATATGCATCGGGCCAGCAACGGATCTGCACGCGCCCGTGAGAGACTTTGTGCTCGCTTGGACCATGCTGGCCCATGCTGGGCCATGCTGTCCGACTGGCTGGCATGCGCTCACCTTGGCGCAGAGGCGGCAGGAGGTATAGAGCCGCGAGCAAGGCAGCATGTCAGCAGGGCATGCACGCACACTCAAGGGCAAACCAAGCCACCTCGCGGCGAATGCGGCCGGGCCAAGCACAGCAGGCTAGGGCACGCACGCCCTGACGAGCACTGAGCCTGCCGCCACCTTCCAACTCGGAGCCGAGCGAGGTCCCAACGGCTCCCGACGCGTCTGCAAACCCGAGTGCCGTGTTCCGGGCACGCATCCCCGCCAAAGTGAGGCGGTCCGCTTGGCCGACAACCGAGGTCGTGGGCGTCCTGCTGGAATTACGAATCCAGGGTCTGGTCCCGACCACATCCTGCAGCCTCGATCCATCCACGCAGCGCAGCGGCAACTCCTCCGTCCATTTCCAGCTTGCCTCTGCCCCTTCTCACGCCTCGGCCCGCCCTTTGGTCGACGAGCACAGCGGAAGAGAGAGAGAGAGAGAGAGAGAGAAAGAGAGGGAGGGAGAGGAACGACCGGCGAGAGGAGATCGCGTGCAACGCAAGCGGAAAACAGCCACCCGTCCTTTGGCCGGCCCGGACCAGACCCCCGAGCCTCTCTTGCCCTCGTCTAGCCCTCCGGACGGGCGGTGGAGCGGGCGAGCGACGACGTCGACCCGCCGGACACGTCGGCGAATCGATCGCGCCACGCTATAGTACGGCCGCGGCTGCGGCGGCGATTACCCCTGCCGGACCCCCCGCTGACGGCTCGAGAGGTCAAGGAGGCGGACACTCGGACCGCAAGACGCCATCGCGACATCTCGCGCACGACCGACTCGCCGCCACCGCCGCCATGTCCGGCTTCGATCCGTCGTACTTTGGCGGGCCCGACGACAGCACGCTCGCATACCGGCAGCAGCAGCGTCGCAAGGTCAATACCTGCCTCCAATGCAAGACGCGCAAGGTCAAGTGCGACAAGGTGCGCCCGCACTGCGGCCCGTGCAAGCGGCGCCGCATCCCCGTCGAGCGGTGCAACTGGGCAGAAGAGACGGACCCAGAGACGTTCCAGCAGGCGGCCGCAGCAGCCTCGGTCGGCGGCTTCTCACACCACCATGCCGGCGGTGCCGGTCGCGAGAGCTCGGACTGGTCGTCGCCTGCCTTTGAACCGGCCCCATCTCCGGCGCCCCTGCCGCTGCCCCAGGAGCCGACAACGCCTGTCGCGCCCGGCTCGACGCTGCTCGGGCTGAGCGACACCGATGCTCGCACGGTGCTTGAGCGCATCTCGCGGCTCGAGATGCGGATGCGTGGCTCTGAGCCCGACTTTGGCAGCCCCACTCCGTCTGCCGTCGACGCGGCGGCCGGCTCGCCGCTCGTTTCTGCTCAGGGCCGACAGATCGACGCTGCTGCGCTGGCGGGTGCCGCCCATGCCAGGGCAGTGCACTCCGCCAATGCCGCTGCGGCGGGCCCGTCGGCGAGCTCGACGACGGCGCGATCCTCCGCGCCACCGCAGTCGGCCGAAGTCATCTCGCTGATCGACGACGATGATGACGACGGAGGATTGGATGTCGCGGCAGTCGACCGCCTCCCCGGCACGACGCCCATCGATGGTGGCGCACCCTTCCCCTTTGCCTCGACCGCGACAAAGGACAAGATCGAGCTCATCGTGGGCTCTCTGCCCAACGACCACGCCATCAACACGCTCCTCGACGGCTTCCGAACCTACGAGAGGCTGGTGCCGCTCGGCATCAGCTGGCGCCTCTTTCGAAACCAGCTCATCGGCCTGCGCGGCGACATTGCCGAGTGGCGCAACGGCTTCGTCGAGGATCTCGGCGTGGATCTCAGCTTCCTCGCGCTCCTCTTCGAGGTCATGGCCGCCGCCGCCGAATGCCGCCCAGCCGAGGACCTTGTGCGCCAAGGAATCGCCACGGGCGTCGATGCCGTGTCTGATCGTGAGTGGGCGGTGCACTTCGCTTCGCCGGCAACCACAACGACGATGCACCGGAGACTGACAGTTCAGCTTGTCGATGCGTTCTGTGCCATGGGCTGCCCGCCTGCTCAGTGATTGAGCAATGGCACGATACCTGCAAGGCTCTGCTGGGCATGGGCGATCTCCTCGAGCAGCCTAACCTCAACACACTCAACGCGCTTTCGCTTTTTGGCGTCCATGCAGCGAATCGCGGCAAGGTCGGCTCCTCGAGCGTCTATGCACGCATGGTGAGTGCGCTCGAGTATGCCCAATTGATCGACCGACGACCCTCTCACCACCAGGCTGATCTGGCCTCCTCACTCGCGACATATTTCGCATCGACATCCGCCGCGCGCCGGCCGACAGTGCCTGACACTCGCCCGCAAGCTCGGGCTGCACGCGCTTGGCACCGCAGAGCTAGACCGCCAACGATGGCAGTCGCGACCCGAAGACGACGACACCACGGTCCGCACCGGGCCTATCGCTGCTGTGCGCAAGGCGCAGTTCCAGGACGACACCGAGTATCAGGCCGCGGAGGAGGCGGACCTGCTGCGGCAGCTGCTCTCGTCGACCGACGATGGAATCGTCCCGCGCCGCGAGGACGACATGCTCGAGGCGGTGCTGCCGGATCGGTCGCACCTGGTGCGCGAGTCGGCGAGGATGCTCTGGGCCCAGCTCAGGTGGCAGTCGGCCATGTGCGGCGACTGGGCTGCCGTCGAGGGCGAGACGTCGCGCGTGACACTGGGCGTCGAGGAGGCAGAGCTTGCCGACGGCGAGAGCCTCGATGTGCCCGCTTCGAGCTTTGAAGGCACAGCCGACGGAGTGGACCAGACACGCACCACCACCTCGAACCTCGCACTGCACCGCGATATCGACCAGATGCTCGGCGTCGTGGCCGCGTCCGCAGCACCCGGCGGAGGCCGGGCAACGTTGACGCCTCACGAGATCCAAAAGATGCTCGAGGACCTAGCATCCTGCCACCCACCGACGCGGAGCGAGGCCGGGTTGCCGGACAGGGTCAAGGCACATGACAGTCTGCGCCTCCTCACTGCCAGCTGGCTCGGCCTGCGCGCGACGCGTCCGTTTCTGCGCACCAGCGATCCCGTCGCCCAGCTCGCGGTCAAGTCGGCACGGGCAGTGCTGCGCGCCGCCGAGGCCTTGCGCGGCGTCGCTGCGGCGTCGACAAAGCCGTTGGCGCCCTGGTTCGACGTGGCGCTGCTGCAGGCCGGGCTGGTGCTGGCCGTGCATCGCCTGGTGCACATCGAGCGCGGCTTGGCACAAGATGTCGCGGCGCTCAAGTCGGAGCTGGACGCCGCCCTGGCGCTCGTCGCCACCTCGTCTGATGCGCCAGACGAGCACGACGAAGGCGATGACGATGGCGATCCAGGGTCCAAATCGCCGCGCAATGGCGCCCGCCTCCTCACGGCCCTCGCCGCACTCGTCGAGCAGCGGCAGCGGGAGTGGGCGAAATGCGGACCCAAGGTCAAGAGCGAGGATGGCGATGACGGCAACGCGGCCATGGACGTCGATCCGCCCGCAAACGCCGCCGCCTCGCGGGATGACGACGCCGCCCCGGCAGGGCGGGCACAGTCCGAGGCACAGGTCCAAGAGAATGAGGCGGCCACGTCGCTGTCGGAGCACGATCCGGTCAGGCCTTACTTTGAGGAGCTCCGCAAGATGAGGCCAGGGGCTGCCGAGAGGCAGGTCGTCGACCTGCCAGGCTTTTGGAGGCTGCTCGAGGGCGTATCATGACAGCCTTGGCCAATCGCACATCAGCGTCAGCGCCACGCTCCGGTCCGGTCCCTGGACGGCCCGAAATGATACGGAAACTTGTTTTTCTGATTGGCATCGACGACAGCGAGCCGCAACCGGCACTGCTTCGCCGATGCGCCACCACAGACGCCTCGTCCACCTCCCATCTACGACGACTGGATAGCCTTGACGACGGCGTCGTATGCGGGCTTGGGCTTGAAGTCCTTGTCAAAGAGGAGGGGGGTATCGCTGGCCCTCCAGCTATCGGCATCCGAGGTGCCCCAGACGGTGACGCCGACGCAGTTGTGGATGGCGGCGCACGACTCGACGGCGGCGACGTAGCTGCTGGGCGCGGCCTGCTTGATGTCGAGCTCGGTGATGGCGCACTCGGGCGCGGCGGCGCACAGCGCCTTCATGGCCGGACCCACCGTCGAGGCCGAGGGGAAGCCCGACGCCGAGAGGTGCATTTGCGAGCCGATGCCGTCGATGGGCACGCCCTGCGCGATCCACTTTTTGACGTTGCTGATCAGCGCCGTCGTCTTGGCGTACGTGGCCGAGTCGAGGCTGTGCGAGGGGGGAAAGAGGGAGACCACGATGCAGGGGCCGTAAGGCAGACAGGCGACGACGTCAGCAATCCAGCTCAACGACGCCATCGGGGCGCTCCGGCGACTCGATTCGACTCGACTCAACGCCGCCGCCTAGCCGACTCACTTGTAGTCGTTGATGTACAGCTTGGCCTTGCTATCGGCCTGCTTGGCATACTGAAAGGCGAGGGGGATGTACTGTTCGCCGAGGACGTTGTAAAAGTGGTTGCGGCGGAAAGAGCCGTCCTCCTCGAAGGCCTCGTTGACGACGTCCCACGCGTAGAGCTGGCCCTTGTAGCGCCCTGCGACGGTCGAGATGTGCTCCTGCATGACCTTGATGAGCTCGCCCTTGTCGGTGATGCTCTCGACGTAGGGCGACAGCTGCTGGTACCACACGAGGGTGTGGCCGCGCGCGCGCAGGCCGTTCTTTTGCGCGAACGCCACAAACTGGTCGGCGAGGTCGAAGCTGAATTGACCTCGCGAGGGCTCGATGCTCTGCCACTGTGGGTTGCCACGGCGACGATCGACAGGCGGGGACGAACGGACGATGGGTCAGCGATGTCGGAGTACGATGTCCAGGCAGAACAGGGGCACGGCACGGCACGCACCTTCATGCTGTTCTCGGGCGTGAGCATGCCAAACTGCTTTTTGACCGTGACGGCCTCCTGGGGGCGCTGGAGGAGGCCCACGTCAAAGGCGGTACCAAAGTACTTGTTGCTCTTGGACTCGAAGAGGGCGTTGAGGCTGGTGCTCTGCCGCTTTTCCAGGCGCGCTGAGGCCAGCAGCGGCAGGGCGGATACGAGGGCGGCGAGCGAGACGTGGAGCTGCATCTTGGGACGAGGGGGCGCGGTGGTGGCCTATGTTGGGGTTGAGTTGGGGGGATGCAGGAGGGGGTAGGATGAAGGTGTTCCTTGCGTGAGGCGATGGAGGTCAGGTAGGGGAGTGGGGATGAGGTCGAGGTGGGTCCGTCTCCGTCTTTATACGCTCCGGCCCGTATACAGCTGCAGCCGGCGAGCTGCCATCGAGCAGAAGAGATGAGACGGTGAGTGAGAAGATCAGGAGGGTGCGACCTCGAAGGGGATGGGGAACCGCAACGGCCCGGACGGATCCCTGTCCCTGCGACTCGTGGTGTTACGCCGCACGGGCAGGACGAGGCAGGGCAGGCCTACGCGGCATCGAAGGCCATGCATGCAGCCGTCCAATGTCTCTGTTGGGAGGTGCACGCACGGTTGAGAGGGCAGGCTAGGGTGCGCAGCGACGTCGTTGCGTTGACAGACAGACAGACAGACAGACAGACAGACAGACAGCATGCAATGTGCGCCCGGGTGCGGCGTTGCGAGGGGAGACCGGCGAGGGGAGGGGGATGCGAGTGGGCGCCGCGACGCCGATGCACGCACCCTCATCTCGGGCCGCGCCCCGTTGGTCGATCCACCGCACCGTGCGTCACCCCTCCGCTGCAAGACTGCCCCACCTCCCTCGTCGCCACCACCACCATCGCCAGCCGGCCGGGCTTTGCGAAGGCGCACCGTCCCAAGACGGAAGGGCCGATGGCCAGTGGGCGGTTCGAGCCGTGCTTTCTGGTCGCCACCGCCCGCCCGCGCCCCAGGGGAGCGCCCTACCGGCTTGTCCGTCTGCGCCATGCCTGGCTGCCCCAACTCCCACACGCTAGCCTACCTTGCTCCATCTTCGAGACGACCCAACGAGCTCGACAACGCACGCTGGACATGGATCGACTGCCGAGATGACCGAGGCAGCTTACTGCGGGAGAGAGGCCACAGCCACCAACTGATGCGGAACCACTTGCGAGGTCCGGCTAGACCAAAAGCATACCTACCTACCGCGCCACGCCGGGCTCAGCATGGCACAGTTCATCCTGTACCGGCATGCTGGTCACGGTCCGCTCGCAGACTTTGCTGGACTACGACGTCGCCGGTCCCACCTCGCGACGCGACGGGGATACCAGCACAACACCACCGTCAGCGCGCCAGCAGCGTCAGTCTCGATCGTACCGTACCGCATCGCAGCGGACCGAGGGAGTTCACATACAGTGCAGTACCATGGACGACGAACGCCAAGGAAATAGGACAGGGTGACCGGCGACCCTCGCAACGTCTCCAACCGTATCTCAACCTCGACCCAACACCTACTTGAGCATGCGTATAGCCAGCAAGCCAAGGCAAGGCAAGGCAAGGCACTCGCCTGCTGTCGGTAGCCGAGAAAGTTCGGCGACGTTGCCGTTGCCGTTGCGCTTAATGGCTTGTCCATGCGCGCCTAGTCCTACAGTAGCCTGGGAGAGGATGGCCACCGTACCGGCCGGCCGTTCCTTTGCCACTCGAGATTGCCGGTCACGATGATAGCGCGGCGGACGAGCAGTTCGGATCTGCGCACCATCCGACCGGACCTGATCTGGCTCCGCGGTCGCATCCCCACGGGGAAGCATCGGAAGCGACCTGCGCCCAGGGCAGCTAGTGTAGACCAGGCTAGGCTAGGCAGGCTGGGCCAGACGTGGCTCGCGACCGGCTGTCTGTACGGGCGCGCTGCCATCTCGGATTGCCGTACGCACCCTGGACCCGGCTGCTGCCTTGGCATCGAACCGAGCGAGCGAACGAGACCTTGCTCACGCCTTCCCCACACCATGATTCTCCCCCGCCTAGGGACTCACACGCACACATACATGAGCGCCGCTGCGACCGGCAAGCTCTGGCCTCGCCGCGAGGATGCTGCCCATATAGGATGGCATTGCCACCAGGCTGAACCCATCACCGGCGTCTTCGTCGTCGTGCTCCTCGTCCTCAACCACCTCGAGCTCGGCATTGGGAATCCCCCCCCCCCCCCCTGCAGCGGGCGAGCAAGCACGTTGTGACCTTCCCGACATCGCTTCCGACCCCTCCGCGACCACCTCACGTTGCCGGTCTGAGGGCCCGCAGCCGCTCGGCCAGGGCGTCGTCCTCCCTCTCCTTGTCCTTTGCCTTTTCGGCTGGCTGCGGGCTGCTGAGCTCGGCGACCTTGCCCTCGAGGTTGGCCTCGCCTAGCTGCTGGTTGAGCTCGATGCCATTCTGATCCGCCACCTGCTGCATCAGCAGGTCCACCTGGTCCTGGGGCGTCGTCTGGGCCGTCGTGGCGCCAATCGTGCCCTCCATGTACGACGTCTGCACGTCGAGGTCCTCGAACTGGTTCTCGAACTTGTCCATCACCATCGAGATCTGAGGCGTCGCCGAGGGAGAAGGAGCGCGGCGGGGCAATCGCCGGTCAGCGTGGCGTTCGTTCGGCGGGGGCGTGGCATCGACCCGACCGCGCGGATGGCCAGCAGGCACTCACGCGCTCGAGGTTCATGCTCTCCATGGCCTTGTCCATGCCCTTGACTACGGATGTCATGCTTCCCGTGACCTGGCGGTTGAGGGAAAGCGAGGCAGCGAGCGGGCAAGACGGTTCGCAGCAGCGGTCAGCATCCTCGGCTTCGCACGTCTTCGAATCGGCCGGTGCTACCGCGCGCTAGGGCTCACCTGTCGCATGGTGACGGCCGTCTCGACTCTGCTTGCGACGGCATCGATCCTGCTGCCTAGCCTCAGTAGGTTGAGGCTCTCATTTTTCTTGCGGATGGCGTTGGCGGCGTAGATGCGTGCACCCTCGACGTTGCCTTGCGCCAGGGCCTAGGGGCGGCGGCGGGGGCGGCAAGAGAGGGAAGATGGGTCCGAGACGAGCTCGACGCGGTGAGTGGACGGACAGGGGAGGCGATGGACAGAGGAGACGATGGCAAGGCCCGGGCTGCTCACCTTTTTGAGCTTTGCCTGTTCGGCCTTTTCGTCCTTTGTTGCCTTGCGGGCCTGTCGCTCGAGCGACTTTGCGGTAAACTTGAGCTGGAAGAGGGACTTTTCGAGGCCGCTCATGGTGGGCGGGGCGTGGGGTGGGGCGCGCTCGATGCTAGCCTAGGTGAGAGAGATGCGACGAGAGTGCAGGCTGGTGATGGGCGACCGAGGGAGCGGGAGCGGTGCGAGGGAGAGGAGCTGGCAGCGGGTGATGATGGATGGCGGTCGATGGTCGGTGGTGGTGATGGAGTGCAGCAGCAGCGTGGACCCGCCAGGGTCGCCCCCCGCTTGGCCTGGCCTGGCTGTGCCTGGCGTGGCTGCGCTGCGCTGCGCTTGCCCGAGTCCCGGCGTGTTGGCTCGCACGGACGACGGGGACGGGGACGAGGGCCCTGCCTGTGCGGCTGGCTGCTGGTCAGCGATGCCCCGTCCTGCCTGCCTTGCCTGCCTTGCCTGCGTGGCTGCTATTTTCGGGCGGGGGGGCGGCCTCCACTTTTTGGCCTTTTGCTGCCTCGACCCGATGGCCGCCTTTTGTTCTCTGGGCTGCGTGCCGGTGTTGGCAGGTCAACCACCACCATCCTTCCTGCCTCGACCTCGACCTCCGCCGCTCCACCATCATCGCTTCGTCATCGCCGCTCCCTCATTTCCACCACCACCACCACCACCACCACCATCCATGCCGACCTCGACATAGCATATCCCGCCTTGCTCAGTCTTCCTTCTTGATCCCGACCACATTCTCTCCCACTCTCTCTCTCATTCTCTTCGACCTCGCAGACATGGTCCTCGTCCACCACGCTGCTGCTCGCACGTCGTGCCATGCACCAATATGCCTCGTGATCGCGACCGCTCGCATCGACTTGCTGCAGCTCAGCGGGCAAACAGGCTCGCTGCTCGCCCCGACCTCAAAGCCATCCCGCGCCTTCTCGACCACGCCCCACTCGCCCCAGACGCCCCCCACCCGCAGACTCGATGCCCGCTTCAGGACACCCGCCTTCCCGCCTCCCTCGTTCCCCGCAGCCTTCGGTGCAAACCAGATCCTCCCAATCACGCCCTCGGTACAATCCCGCCTCGACTCGGTGCTCAGCTCCTTCGAGGCACCCGTCCGCTTCGCCTTTGCCTATGGCTCCGGCGTATTCAGCCAGTCCGAGGCCGGGCCCGAGCACTCCAAGCGGCCCGCCACCCGCGACGGCCGCAAGATGGTCGACTTTATCCTCGCCGTCACCTACCCGCAGCACTGGCACGCCGTAAACATGTCCCAGAACCCGCGCCACTACTCGCTCCTCTCGCGCATCCTCGGCAGCACCCTCGCCGCCTGGGTCCAGCGCCGCGGCGCGGGACTCTGGTACAACCCCTACGTCCGTATCAACGACGAGCTGGTCAAGTACGGCGTCATCTCGGTCGACGACCTCTGCCGCGACCTCTTGGACTGGGAGACGCTCTACGTTAGCGGTCGCATGCACAAGCCCGTCGCCCTCCTCACCTCCGACGCCCGCGTCCGCCTAGCTCAGCAGGTCAACCTCGCATCGGCCCTCCGCGTCGCACAGCTGCTCCTGCCCGAGCACTTTACCGAGGTCGAGCTCTACACCCGCATCGCTTCGCTCAGCTATACGGGCGACTTCCGCATGAGCGTCCCCGGGGGCGAAAACGCCGACAAGGTGCGCAACATTGTCCTCAACCAGCGCGAAGAGTTCCGCCGCCTCTACTCGGGCCTCGTCCGCAGCATGGGCACCATGAGCGTCGCAGAGATGCGCGAGAACCGCTTCGAGATCACGGTGAGTAGCGCGGGCGTGATCGACACACTCGACCAACAAGAATTGACCCCTCTGCACCCTCGCGCTCGTGCTCGTTCCATATCTCCGCACACACACACACACACTCTCTCTCTCTGGCTGACCCACACAACAGCAAGACACATCGACCGAGACGCGCGCCTCGCACGCGGCCAAGCTGCCGCGCCGCCTGCGCCAGCGGATCCAGGATCACTATACGTCGCGGCCCGACCTGGATCCGGCGTTCCTCAAGCTGTCGCTGTCCAAGGGCGAGGCGGAAGAGGTGCCGCGTACGCCGTCGCGCATCGAGCGCGAAGAGGGGCTCAAGGACTTTTGGCGGGCGGCGGTGCAGCGCGACGACTTTAACCACGTCGTCGTCCAGAAGATTGCAGAGACGGTGCGCGGGCCCGCGTGGGGCCAGAGCCTCAAGGGCATCTACACGGCCGGCTTCACCCGTACCGCAAAGTACGTCATGGCCAAAGTGGGCAAGGTGAGTTGCCAGTCCGCTTCGCACGGCTCCCCTTGCTGGCCAGGATGGCGTCGTCTCGATCGGCCCACGCTGACTTGGACTATCCGGTTTTCGTCCCGCTTGCCTTCGCCCCCTTTCCATAGTACTTTGAAGGGCGGAGGGAGCGCCAGGATAAGGGTCAATAAGCTTGCGAGTGAGGCAGGGGAGGCTGGGCGGGGGGAACGAGGAGGAGCCACGAGCTGCAGGCCGAGTGCCGAGGAAGGGTCGTCGGACGCTGCCCGCTGCTGGGCTCGGGGAATTTTGCCCACTTTTTTCGTTTTGCTTTTGCTGGGCCCCAGCGGCCGCGGGCCACGAAGACAGAAACGTCGAAAGCTTCTTGCTTCGTCCCTCTGGCTGCCAGCTACCGGATGCCGGCTATTTCCTCTCCACAATACGACGACGACGACGACGACGACGACCACCTCCATCCATCTTGCACCACCCTCCTGCTCTGATCCGTCGTAGGCATGACCACATCGACCTCGGCGACGACGACGACGGCGGCGGCGGCAGCGACGGCCCAGCTGGCCGCGGGGCCCTGTTTCCCGCCGCACCCGTCGCCTTCCACCATCGGCCCGCTGTACATTGCCCACTTCGCCACCACCCATGCCACGTTCCGCCTGCCCGACTTCTACTCGGCCGCTGCCTACCTCGAAGTGCCCTTCGCGTTTGTGCCCGTGCCAGTGTCCAAGAATTACCCGTCGGCCGCGTCCTCCTCCGCCTCAATGTCGGACAAACACGCGCAGTCCTCAACCTCGACCTCGACCTCGGCGTGGCAGCCCGATCCGACGCGCCCCTACCAGCTCGTCTACCTCCCCTCGGATGCCGTGGCCCAGCAGCTGCTGCGACGCTGCGTCAGTCTCCGCTCCATCTGGGCCTACTGGGCCCACGGTTCCTCGTACGCCGAGCTCCACGCTCTCGCTCAGACGCCATCGCACCGTCCGCTCTGGGAGCCCTCCATCACGGTGCCCTCGTGGAAGGCGCACGTCTTCTCCTACAGCGGCACCATCTCGGAGCGCCGCAAGGTCGACGTGATCCAGTCGTTCGCCTACATGGAGTTCCAAGGCCGGATCCAGCTCCGCGAGCCCTCGATGCGGTGGGGCGTCATGGAGGAGTACCTCGGCCAAGACCTCTGGCCCGCCGGCTACCAGCCCACCGCCGCACCGTCTCGAGCCGAAAGGCTGCAGCAAGAGGGTCGTGCAAGTGCAGGTGCGAGCGCCGATGCCGACACGTCGCCCTCTAGCGCTGCTGCTGGCGCGGCCGCGGCGACAGGCAAGGCGGCCCCGCCGCAAAGCACG